ACCACACAATCAGCACACAAGAATACAGGCCAGTGTAACCACAATCAGTAGTGGTACACGCACCCACACAGAATTGCTGATACTGCTGCTGCTGTCTGCATCACCCTTCTTGTTGTTTGTGAGTTTAGGAGAAAGTGTTGTTGTGGTAGTAGTGGTGGTGGTTGATTCTTCATTACGGGGTGTGTTGGGAGTGTCAGAGTTCGTACTCGTTGAGTTATCGTTCTCAGTTGTATCGTTGTGTGATTGAGATTCCAGTGAAGAGGGTGTCTGTTCTTGCTGAGAACGGTGTTCTTGAGTGTCAGTAATAACTGTACTGGATACAGTAGAAGAATCAGATTGTGCATCTTTTTCACTTTTCCTCGTCTCTTCTGCTTGTTCACTTACTGGAGCATTCGCCTTCTCTTCTGTTTTCTTCTCTACTTTTGGATTATCCCCACCACCTTGATCATGACCAGTATTGACAGAAACAACTTGGGATCCATTATCATTTATACCTCTTCCTCCTTGTAGTGAATCTGAATTAGTTTGACCGGTAGATGGTTGTGCTTCATTACCACGATTGTTTCCATTCTGACGTTCATTCTCAGCCACACCTTTAACAAGAAGGGTGTTTTCAGAGTCTTTATTCTTTTCTTTCTCATGGTGATGATTTTCTATATTTACCTTTGGAAGACTCACATCAAGGTCAGCTTTCTCATTGGTAAGAACTATTGCAGGTACACTTTTTTCCGGATCAGAATGATGAACTGCTTGTCCAGCTTTTAATCCTCCTCCCAAACCTGCACTGACTGTTTCTTCTTCTACCTCAACCAACTGATTCTTAAGTAAATCTTCCTCCTCTTGACTACGATCACCGACACCCAAACTATCATTAGAACACTGAGATTCAGATGGCTCGGCTACTGAATTAGGTGGACAGGTAGAAGATACAGGAGGCAAAACACCAAGAAGAGGTGGACCCTTAGGACCGGGATCCTTATCTTTATCCTCAAGTGATTTTTCATTCTCTACAGCTACCACAGAGCTGCAGAGACAACACAGTGCGATAGTGAGAATACAGAGAAAGTGGCTTAGTGACATCATTACTTTTCACCGTTGGTATTACTATCTCAATTTAGTGAACTAAGCAAAACAAAAAAGAGAAAGGGGCAACAAAAACACAAATAAAGAGAAAGGCACAAAAGAGATCGAAATGAAAAGGTTAACAACAAACTACACATAACGGAAATCTGCAACCATCACTCAGATAGCGTCCAAATGAAGCAAAAAGTACACAGTACCCATTAACAAACAGATAAGCCCAATTAACCCCTCAAAAAAAAACAAAGAAATTGAGAGAACGACCTGAGGAAGCAAGCACAGAAATAAATACCCCTTTCACTTTAAGTAGAACCATGTGCTAAAGTATGAATATACATGAATTCCTTTTTATTTACTCTCTGCACAATACAATTCAACGTCACATTGAAACCGAGAGCACACAGCGCCAAAATAAACAAAAATGTCTGCAAAGACAAATTGAGAGAAGCACCAACCGCACAATAATAACACAGTCCACTGGGTATGCTGGTCTGTTCAAGCAATTAAGAATACAAATTGTATTAACTATTATTTTTTTTCCATCTAAACAAGGCGTACCACCATAACACTACACGTCAAGAGCACACCATGATTCCAGCAAACCATAAGCAAACGAAAAAGATATTAACCATTAGCCCAATTTATCCAGTTAACACAGAAATATACACCAACTATGGGTGTAAGTCTATATATGTGTGTATATACGTAATTATAAATATAAATTCATCTGTTATTATTATTTCCTTTTCTTTCCACTGCAAAAAGCAGTTCATCATCATTATCACAGTGCAAGCCCAGATGCACACACACACAGAGAGTCTCCAAGAACACACACACACACACACAATGGAGTAGCAATAATTATTATAGGATAAACACATAGAGAGCAAAAACAACACACAAAACACAATAAAATTAAGAAACAAAAAAGAAGATAATCCCAACAGGTGTAAGATTAGTTAGACTGTAGTGTGGATGCATGCAAAAAAAAGAAAAAGAAAACAAAGGATGACCTGAGTCACACCACCACACCATTACAATCAGCATACAAGAATACAGGACAGTGTAACCACAATCAGTAGTGGTACACGCACCCACACAGAACTGCTGATACTGCTGCTGCTGTCTGCATCACCCTTCTTATTGTTTGTGAGTTCAGGAGGAAGTGTTGTTGTTGTTGTTGTGGTGGTGGTGGTGGTCGTTTCCTCATTATTGGGTGTATTGACACTGTTTGAGTCCGTGTTTGCTGAGTTATTGTTCTCTGTTGTACTTGCAGCTGGAGTGGTTTGGTTGGCTTCACTGTCCGCGTTAGTTGCACTGCTGCCGCTGCTTGCAGCTTGTTTGTCCCCTGCAGACGCAGCCTCAGTCCTCTCGGCAGGTGCAGGTGCTGGAGAAACAACAGCAGCAGGAGAATGTCCAGAATTAGTACCAACACCGGGAAGATTACTATCAGAAGCAGCACTATCAGATGCATGAGAAATAGCATTACTTTGGACGGCTGACTCAGACAAACCATCCTGACCACGTGGTGACTCAACTGTTCTCTGCTCACTTTGTCCTGCCAGTTTTCCACCAGTCCCTCCAAGTTGCTGATTTTGTTCTTGATGTGTCTGATCCAGTGGCTCACCGGTCCTCACACCATCCTTTTCTTTTGCCTCAGGTCCAGGAAGCACAACTTCGTTCTCAATCAACTGATTCTCCCTCCCTTCCTCTCCACTATCCACAGACGTCAAACGAGAACTTTCGACACTCTCAGAACCAAAGCCGCCAGGAGGTCCTTGAGGCCCCAACGAATCGTTTCCTTGACCACTATTATGTTGAGCCACAATATTTTTTTCGCCTGGCTTGGCTAAATTTGAGGACTGACGTTTATCATCTCCAACTGGTACGAAACCCACAATTCGAGCCTCAGTGGCAAACACATCAGTAAAAAAAGCCATCTCCGCTTTTCGTTGTCCAGCAGAACCAGAAGCAGCAGCCGCCATGGTATACCCGCAGACACAGCAAAGCACAACGGCCAACACACACATCACACGGCGCAGCACCATCATCATGAGAGAGACAATAGTTTGGTTTGCGTAAAAACACTGATCTAGAAAGAAAGACAACCAAAAAGAAAAAAAAGAAAATAAATGAAGTATCAAACATGTTAGGATACACACAAAACGATTACCACTATGGAAACTCACATCGTGAAAGTAAACACCTACCAGTTAAAGAATGCAATACAGCGCAATAGCATCAGTAAGAGTGAAAAGAAAAACAAAAAAGAACACACTCACAAATATCTCACAAAAAGGCTCAATGCCCCAGCAAAATCATCAAGTAAAGAAACAGATATTAACCATTAGCCCAATTTAACCAGTAAACACAAGAAATACACCAACTATGGGTGTACGTCTATACGTATATACACGCAATTATAAATATAAATTCATCTGTTATTATTACTTCTTTTCCTTCACTGTAAAAAAAAAAACAGTTCATCACAGTGCAAGCCCAGGTGCACACACAAAGAGAGTCTCCAAGAACACACACACACACAATGGAGTAGCAATAATAATTATTATAGGATAAACACAGAGAGAGCAAAAACACACACAAAACAC